GATAGTTGGATAGATACAGTAAAGTGTCATGCCTAATAAATTATTGATTGATATTCTATAGTCAAACATGGACGGCTGCTCGAGATGCCTGTMGAAAGTTTTCCAAAACAACAGACCTTGTTAGCATCCACRATGCAGCAGARAATAAGTTTGTACAGAGTTTGACAAATAAATCTCTCGACACTTGGATAGGACTCAACGATCGAGGAGTCCTTTCAGGTAAAATACAACCACCACCCTTTACTCTTATATTTTTATTGATGTCACAGTATTTGTTCACAACTTTAAATCATTCATACTAATTGATATTGTGATAGAATTATGATCTCAGCACACATTAGTCAGTAATATAACGGTTTTAATGTGCATGATTTTCTTTAGGAGTTATCGTGTAATGTAACATGTTAAGCAAATATGGTACAAAATTTCTGAGTACCCAAGATCCCTTGCGGCGTTAGCTTTGATGATATTACCTTTTCGCGACAATTTTTGTCAATGAGGTGTAAAATAGAAGGCCTTATTGATGATAATTAACTAGAGCATAACAATATAAATTGAACCAATTAACCCTGCCATTGTTTTCTTTTTGTTACTGAAGGTCACGTATGGACAGACAATACTCCATTACGATACACCAATTGGGGACCAGTGCAACCTGACAGTCATTCTGGTCAGCAGCCCTGCGTTATTATCAAAGCATCAGGGAACTGGTATGACGTGGGGTGCTTTTCGACGAGGGCTTATATTTGTAAAATGAAGAGACGTAAGTAAACTGAACTACAACTTTCAAAAATAAATAMATTATGTGCAGATCAGCTTTACAAACATTGAGAACCGGAAATGTCCCTCCTGTCCATAAAACTACACACATATTCATAAATTTATTTGGCACGAAACATTTCAGCTGTAACTTAATAATGTGGTTCCATCTGTAACGGCAAGTTTGTGCAGTTACATTTTTAAATGCTGTAAGAGCGTGTTGTCGCCTTCTAGAGAGCGAGCAAAGCATTCTGGTTATATGCTGAGGTATTTCAGAAAACCTTTTTGAAGAGAACGAAACCGCGGTGATTGCGGACCACCGAACTATAGGTGCTGTAGGTTAGCCAATCATTGGAATACGATTCCTAATTGCCCTGTCGCATAATGACCTCATAGCATGTTTACAGTGGGGATAGATGAAAACATGGGAAATTTGCATACTTATTAACATTCTCAATGATTTGGTCTATAATAGACTTCTGAGCCTTTTACGTCACTACTTGATTTCCAATGCATTGTGGGATGAGTTTCAAGAGAAAACAAAAGAAATCCGCCATGTTCTGTCCCAAACATATCCTACAATGCATTGCGTTTACGGTACATGACGTAAAAGCTGCAGAGGTCTATTATAGTTGCCAAAACAAAGTTAGTTGTAACGGTTATATGACACAACTAAACTTTTGATAAATACCRTTTATTAATGATTGTTAATGTGCATTCTCTTTGATATGCAGTCATTCTGCCACCCTCTAGAGACCATATTTTATAGTGCTAAAACAATAGAAYGATTTCAATTGTGTGACGTAATTATGCAARAAGACAGTTTCCCTTGACTCCAACAACTTTTATTTTACGGGCGCGATCGTGCAAAATATATATTGTGCATATATTTGATTGTCTTTTTTTCSTTTTGCACTCAAATAGCTTCCAGTGCGTTTACTACTCCAAAACCGACAAAGGCCACACCTCTACCAACAGCACGTAAGTTAATATTACAGCTAGAGAGGTTGTTGTAAGAGTGAAAAGATGCATATTTTAAAGTCTTCAAGCATCCGATGACCTTTGCGCGATTTTCACACATACAAAAAGTGACCATCTTTGATTTTGAGCCAATCAGAAAGCAATATTGAATAAGAGATCCTTTGTAAAGCAAAACAAAGGATACCAAAGTTACTTGGATGCACTGGGCCTTTAAAAGGGTTATAGTATTKTTCAGATTTTGGTTTTTGTAGAATTTTCGACGGAAAAGCGTCGCAAATCCAGTGGATTCCCCCAGAATCTTTCTAGCGTCAACATACCGCTGACATTAGCCGAAAAGACTCTGGGTTAGGGAACAGTGCCAAGTAGAATACATTACTAGTGCTAATACGACAAATTGCTTTCGGTTTATAGGCATTTCATGATGAAAACTGTGAGCATCAAAACTTTTCAAAGTAATTACTCCATTTCTTGCTAACACGTGACGTGTTTTGATAGCTCCTGGTACCTGTGATCCCGGTTGGAAGTACTGGAACCAAATGTGCTATTTCTTCAGCAAAACAACCGTCTCCACGTGGCTTTCGTGGTTTAATGCCAGAAGTACTTGTAAAAAGATGGGTGGAGAGTTGGCCAGTATAAGTAGTGCTTCTGAAAATGCATTCCTTTATAACAACATCAGATACAAGTGCGTATTTCTGTTTACTTTTCGAATTTAATTCTATTATATTCGTACATATGTTGTGCTAATGCGCTATTGCGCTACTGCTATGCCTGTAGATATTTCATAACCAAGGATGACATTTGTTTTTCCSTTACCTTTACCTACATGAACTGAATTGATTGATTTATTATCAATACTGTTTTCCCTGTTAGTCACTGGAGAATCCCAGCGTTTTGGATTGGATTGAACGATATGGCAACGGAAGGCAGTTACCAATGGAGTGATGGAAGTCCTTTATCATTCGTCTACTACRGTTGGAGAGAACCAAACGACTGGAACGGACAGGAGGATTGTATGGAGCTCGGCAGATGGAATGGCAAATGGAATGATAATCTGTGCGGCATGACACGTCCGTATATTTGTAAAAAACACAACAGTAAGTGCATATCCCGCTAATTCAGAAAACATTGATTACTTGATACTACATACTGTATGCTACAATGCAATTATTATTGCAGTAAAACTTAGCGTTTATAAGTTGCATTACAAAGTGAAAAATCGAAACTTTTTTGCTTTCCATTGAGCTTCATGACTGTACATAGCTGTTATAATTATGAAACAACGAAAACTCATTTTTAATGGCGATAAGACGTCCAATAATGCATTTTGTTCACTCTCWTCATTATCAAAAGTTTTCTGAAATGGATTTATAACATTTATGGAGCTTTTTTGTCAGGCATATATCTTACGACTAGTATTAATCACATTGAGGATGAAAGCAAAAACATATAAAAAAAAAACAACAACAACAAACAAACAAACAAAAAAATTAATGTGGAGGTAAGCGCGATGGATGGTTTCTTACTAAGAGTCGAGTTTAGGGAATTCTAAAAAACGAATGTAAAAATTATTATATTATATATTCATATCACGATAGCCATATTAACCGCTGCCAGATTTATCCATACGGATTGTGTGATCGCCACGGTGTGRCCATACGACCACGGCCGGTATTACAGCATAGTCGACTTTCGATATTTTGGTGCCACTAATCACTAAAGAATTGAGGCTCAATTTTTTTCATTTGCGCGTCACTATTYGCACAGAGCATCGAATGCGATGGGCTACTACTAACACTATTTTCCGTATTTAAAATTTTAAGCATGAAAACTTTATGATTGTTTTTGACCGTAAAAAGACATTACAGTTTTATTTCAAACTAATAATATCTTATTGTTTATTGTAGATACCTTTACACCACCACCAACAATTGCGCCAACACCTGGACCCGGTATGTACTTCTTAATTTAACTCGTCTTACATTCATCACGTGGTACAAATTGAGATCCCTGGTTGGATAATTAGCTCGTGAAAACCTATTACCTCATTTCTGGGATTCTGGGTAAATTCTTTTTAAAAACCATCCATTTAGACATGGATAGACACCGTATGCAAGAGGATAAAGTAATGACGAATAGATGTTTACTAGGGCGTGGTCAGTGAATAAAGTTACCGCCCCTTGGTGCTTTGCGGACCTAGTGCGCCTCCTGGTGGGGAACTTAAATGTTCGTTTCTCTTGTTCCTTTGTTTATATGAAATGCAAGTGCTGATTATAGGAAATATAAATGTCTTTTAGCTGTTGGGAAGTGTTCTCCAGGCTGGATAAACTACGACAAAAGCTGCTATAAGTTTGTTGCGGATGAGGTACAGACTTGGAAAAACGCACGAACTCGTTGTCAGAAGAATGCAACATACTCCAAGATGAATGGTGAATTAGTGACAATTAACAACCAGTGAGTTCATTGTATTCAATTTCTTAGTACTAAATGTAATTGTCATTTCTAGTATTGCTGTCAACTTGATCGGCCAGACGGACTCCATCTGATGGACATCGCCTCCRACCGTGTTTCTCTATCCTCTTTTGACCAATCAGCTCGAACGTGAGGTCATATTCAAGAATGATTTATGCATGCTAGTTCTTCCACAGGGGGCCCAGGCTCAACGGTTGTGTTGCTTTCACGGCGGTGTCAAAGTATTAATTGCGGGGTTCGCGGTTCGAGCCCTCGTGAAGCCGTAAATTTTTTCTACTTCATTTCTTGAGACTTTTCAAGACTTTTTCTTTCTTTTCTTTTTTCTTTAATAAGTATAAACAGCTTTATGAATAAAGATTGATTTTTAAAGCCATTTTAATATTTTTCCCCCCTCGTAAATAAAAATAGACAAGGGAGGTAAGTCAGCGATCGAAATTTGCCAACCGGCTCTAAACTACGGCCTCTAAGACACCTTTAACTTCATCCAATGGACATCAAACTCCGTACAGCTTTCGATCAATACCTATTCTCACTTACCACCAATGTTCAGCCTCCAGTTAAAAATATTTTCCGAGATATTTTAGTCAAAAGATCAAAATACTCCAGCCTACCGATGGACGGTACYTTCAACTCGTGCACCAACGGAAATGCCTCGCTCTGGGGTGCCCATAATTGAGACGAAGCGGGGGAGACCAAGGATTCTTGAATTCTTGTTATGATGAAGTAGTAAATTTCAGTTTGAATATTTCAGGTTCATAGACAAGTAAGAACTCCAACAGAATGCGGACACCGATGTAACGTTGAATTACATTGCGATTTTTATGAAAACCACAACTACATTACATCACGTCCTCTCACCCCAGAGCGAGGCATTTCCGTTGGTGCACGAGTTGAAAGTACCGTGCATCGGTGTCTTAGAGGCCGTAGTTTAGAGCCGGTTGGCAAATTTCGATCGCCGACTTACCTCCCTTGTCTATTTTTATTTACGAGGGGGGGGGGGGGGGGGGAAATATCATTCTGGCTTTAAAAATCAATCTTTATTCATAAAACTGTTTATACTTATTAAAGAAACTAGACGCATAGCTGCGTGAACTCGGGGTTCTTGTTGATAAAAATCTAGTACTGTAGTGAATCCGAAAGATTAATATTCAGCGTAAATGGTTATATCGATAAAGTTTGTACACTTGTGGTTTCTTTATTAAGGCTCGTTTACACTTGCGATTGTTGCAGTGCATCAAATACGGCTATGAGAACTGAAAACACTACTTTGCATAGCAGGCATAGTGCRTAGTACCTATAAATATCACCCTTAATTTGCTTGTGGAGTTTATCTTTTGTATAATTATTGAATTAATTTTGCCATTRTTATTATTTGTTGACATCTTTTCAGTTTGTAAGCTTATAATTATTTAAATCTTTGGCTGCAAGCCGCGTCCTCACTTTGATAGCAGGGGATAGCAGTCACATGGCAGGCTATAAACACAGAGCTTTTTATCTTCTCCGCTAAATAAAATACTTCCAATCATCGGTTTGTCCTTGGTAGATTTCTGTTTGTATTCCTTAGATAAGTCCTTTGTAGTTCCAGAGCCTGTATATGCTAGTTCGCGATAAGACAATTSTCGATGGACTGCGATCGATAGACAGCAAAATAAACTTCACTATAAGACTATAAGTTTTACGATAAATTCATGGTATCTCTCAAAATTCCCTCTCGAAAAACGCTCGACATCTTTTACTAAGTGTGGCTATACGCGAATGGTGTATGGATTTGTAAGTGATTTTAGCGTATCTGACGTTGAATGCATGTCTTCTTCCATCGGTTAACCTTCGCCACCATTAAGAAATCCAAGATAGCACGTGGAAGATGTGAATGTCACGTGATAGGTTGGACAGTTTGTGACTGATAAGCGACGACAATGAATAAGAAAAATAAGAAAAATAAGAAGCCCGAAATTTAAACTCGGGATTCCTTTGGAACCCCGAGTAAAAAGAAGAAAAAGTCTTGAAAAGTCTCAAGAAATGAAGTAGAAAAAATTTACGGCTTCATGAGGGCTCGAACCGCGAACCCCGCAATTAATACTTTGACACCGCCGTGAAAGCAACGCAACCGTTGAGCCTGGGCCCCCTGTGGTTCTTCCAAGAATTTTCATCGGCGGTTGGCAAAACAAAGGGCGTGTGACATCAAGAGCTTGGTTGGAGGCGATGTCCATCACTGAAGTGGAGTTTGTGGAGGAAAGCATTGACGTTGGCTCAGAGCCATCTAGAAATCAGACTACTGTCAAGAGGTTATGTTGCCTTTTTACAGATACTTGATTTTTCTGCTAATTCGCTTATTTGCTGGCTGTTTTCAATATGCAATAGATGTGCAGCGACGCCATTTTGTACTACAAGGCATGTCGGGAGCTCTACTTCTTGCACTTTTTATGTTTAAGGTTCCATTGTAGAAAAGGCACAATGATGTCTACATGTGCAAAGAAAAGGCACGAAGGGCTTACAATGATTTTTTTTATCGCAAACTGTCATGTTATGGAGTGCTTAAG